AATAAAGGTATTCATTAAGCTGAGACACCATCACTATTGTATCAGAAATGCTCTTGATAAACATCAATAAAGGTATTCATTAAGCTGAGACACCATCACTATTGTATCAGAAATGCTCTTGATAAACATCAATAAAGGTATTCATTAAGCTGAGACACCATCATTATTTATCAGAAATGATCTTGATAAGCATCAATAAAGGTATTCATTAAAGCAGTGGTTCTCAAACATACCGGTTAACTTTATATTAGAAAAATGTAATGTATTAAGTATGAATATGTGAACATACCTGTTAACTTTATATTAGAAAAATGTAATGTATTAAGTATGAATATGTGTACATACCTGTTAACTTTATATTAGAAAAATGTAATATATTAAGTATGAATATGTGTACATACCAGTTAACTTTATATTACAAAAATGTAATATATCAAGTATGAATATGTGTACATACCAGTTAACTTTATATTAGAAAAATGTAATGTATTAAGTATGAATATGTGTACACACCAGTTAACTTTATATTAGAAAAATGTAATATATTAAGTATGAATATGTGTACATATCAGATAATGTAGTATATTAAGTATGAATATGTGTACATATCAGATAACCTTATATTAGAAGAACATAGTATATTATGTTTAAATATCTGTGCATATAACATAAATTTATATTAGAAGAATGTAGTATATTAAGTATGAATATGTGTACATATCAGATAATGTAGTATATTAAGTATGAATATGTGTACATATCAGATAATGTAGTATATTAAGTATGAATATGGGTACATATCAGATAATGTAGTATATTAAGTATGAATATGTGTACATATCAGATAATGTAGTATATTAAGTATGAATATAAATATGTAATATGCAAAAATGTAGTATATTTTTCTAAGTATAAATTTATACGTCAGAGGGCCTGATGTTAGAAAAAATGTTATATTATCAAGTAATTTTACAACTAGGCCATAGGGCCAGAATGAGTTATATAAGCCTGGGCAGAGAG